ATTGTATATATAAGCTGTTAATGCATTACATATGATGTAATGCAAGTATGTTGTTCCAAATCTCAGCCTAAACTGCTAAAATCTCATGAATTTGGCACTGATCTCTCCCTTCTAAGCCTGTGGAGTTTAAATCAGCTATGAAAAGTGTTTATGGTGCCACCCCTCCATCTTAGCGACCAATTATACTTTTTGTTAAACCATACCATTCACTAGAATTGGGATTTTGCTTTTTTTTTAAAAAATGAAAGTAAAATCTCTCCTATGAAGAGCTAAAATGGTGCAAAACAAAGTGTCTCAGCAGTAATTCTCAGCTGTTCTCAGAATGCAATTATCTGTAGCATCCCACCATCTCACTTTCAGCAAGATCCACTTCTACTTAATTCGAAAGTTCTCAAATACTAAAACTCTACAGCGCTAGTCCCAATTTAAGCTTTGTTCTTAATCCCCTAAATCAGAGTAGATAAATATCAATATTCTTTGTTAGCTGACACTATATTTTTGTGCTCCACACTCAATATGTAAGTTTTCAGACTAAGCAGGGTATGTTGCAAACAGGTTGAAAGACACAATACATCTTCAAGGGAAAAATTCACAGCATTAAATGCATCGATGATGAAGTTTTCAAAAGCACTTTAAGTGATTTAGGGCCCAGATTTTTAGAAGTATTTAGGGATTGCTTCACTGAGCATTGCAATGCCTAACTTATGAGTCTATGTCTCATTGGAAGTCAATGATACTAAGGGTCCTAAATGCCTATGTTGTTTTTGAAAATGAGAGTTCAGATCCTAACTCAGTTAGGCATTGCAACACTGAGTGGAGCAATGCCCAAATACCTTTAAAATCTAGTGCACAAGTCTTATGGTCTTTGAATGTGACTTGTACTCTTAAGACCTAGATGCTTTTGAAAATCCCACTCTTAAGATTTTGAGCTCTACAAACTTTCTTCAATTATGTATATTGCCTAGTATTGGGTTCAGGACATTTAGAGTAATTGACATTAAAAACAGAAATGTGGAATGTTAACAGCTCATGTAGTTATACTGCAGAAATCTTGCAGGACAGACTTTCACAGTGGAGGAAAAAAAAACTACAAAAAGAATACATAAATACTCAGATAAAGTGTAAGGACAGGAAAATACATTTAAACTGATCACTAATAAAATAAGGAGCAGTGGTGTTAATGAACAAATTCAGCTGAGGATGTAGAAAGGACTTCAATATTGAGGACAAGTCAGACACTTGACAAATTTATCTATGCCAAACTCAATAGGTATTTGAGTGAAAATTAAACAGTTTCTGAAAGATATCTATTTTTCTATTGGATGCAACAGGTTAAGCTGGATCACTAGGCAGATTATGCTTCAGTTTTAGTCATAGTGACTTTAGAGAATGTGAAATTTTATGTTTTCATTCACAACAGTAGCATAGCACTCTGCTCACTGATCCTGATCCTGCAAGGTGCTGAGCACAGTCAATTGCCCCAGGAGAACTGAGTATTCTGATACTGCAAGGTGAAGATCCCTGGTTGAATTTGTTACAAGTGACTCAGCCCAAAATTGCTGAGGTTTTTGATGGAAAGACAGAAATCCTTTTTGACCTTTCAATATGCAATAAAGTCTTACCAGTTTCTGCTCAGCACATCAGTACAAGTTAGGTAGGGTATATACATGGACAAGTTTTAGAGTGAGGTGACCTAATATGGGTACTGTTCCTCTAATAAAAGGTAAAATATTACTTAAGAACCAATTTCTGTTTGCACACTCTATGCAACCTGACTGCAATAAGGCTGCACGAGAACACAGAAATGGCCCTCAGGCTATAAAATAGGTCATTTCAGTACAAAAACAGTAAAAAGGAAACTCAAAACATGCTTGACAGAGTGAAATTAAATAAATTCTCAAGAACATTTTTAGGATATATTCTCCCTTAGAAGCATGCTTCTGCCAATAATACTAGTGTTAAGATTAGATCTTCCCCTGCAAAAGTGTATTAAGTAATTCTTTCCAGTGCCACATACCAGTCACGAAACCGGTCTACAATGTAATTAATTCAAATGCTCTTTCAGTAACAGTAACTGTAAAAGATTTCTTTTGAACTGCCTTTATTTTCATCACTTTACATGTATAGTTTTATTCTTGATCCAGGATTATCCCCGATTTGAAGTTCACGGTCTTATTTTGTATCTGAGGGTTACATATAAATGCGAGTATAACCTTGAATGCCTTTGAAGCTTTGTCTAAATGCCATCAGATTAAAAAAAGGAAGAGTCTAACAATTTAAGGATCCAATTCTGTGAAATACAACTTCCCTCCCCTTCCCCCAAATGAAAATATACCCTAGTATGCAAGTTCCAAAAAGTTCAACTGAAACCAGTATCTTTAAACTCAAACTGAATCCTAAAAATGTTAAACAAACTTCAGGGTAGGTAGAACTTGCCAAGATTGGTTTGTCTTAACCTTGTTAGGAAATATTTGTAAATTGTTTGGGTGCAAATTTACCAGCTGAGAGGATGTTATTGTTGGGATAGGATGTGAGGGACAGAATCCCGTGCACTGCTGCACCCTGTGTCAGGCAGGAAGTTAGGAAAGTAAAATGTTATTTCAATTAATGCAGAGAACCAAAGTTGAAATATCAAGTATCCACTTTTCATTCTCAGAAGTTTTTACAAGATAGCCAGAAGAATGTGAGAGTCACACTAGATATGACAAACCAATTTTAAACATTCCTACATTAGGAATTTTGTAAAGAGAATTTAAGAGTTCCGATTAAACAAACATCTTCAAACCCCTTGCTGTAGCCAAGTGCTTACTCCACTCCTGTGATCACCATCTACAGTACTAGAGACAAATACAAGGAAGTGGAAATAGCTCTCCTTCCCTTGACTTCATGCGTCTCCCACATACAGTATTAGCAGTGCTGTACTATAATCCATATAGAGAAAGATTATCTCCAGCCCAGTCACTAGGTTATTGGGTGAGTGTGAATGGAAGCAAAGCCCTTCTCAGGTGAAGACACTTTTCTCCATTGTAAACTTGCACCCCAAGCAGTTAAAAGGTCTGTTGGGCTTTATAAAACTTAATATAGAATATAAATTAAAGGCTTAACCTGTTGTGTGTTCTTATGAAAATAGTTTAAATTCTACTTAACATTTGTAGTCTTAAGGAATCATATGATAAAAGAAACATTAAAACCTTATATTAAAATTAGGATTAAAAAAAATGAAGATATGACTTGTTTAGGATGTATATTTATTCTTTGCATTTCTCTTAATTTAAGCAATGAAAAGAATCAAAGGAGTTACGTTTTTGAATACTTCAGTTTCATACGATCTGGGATGTTTAATAATTGTTCCCATGTGAACTTTTAAAAATTCTAGAAACATTGGTTAGCTTTAGGTTTTTAATAAGAGCCTGCTTTTACAAGATGTAGATGTAAGGATAAATTAGGGTTGACATCCTCCCTTCAATGTACAATGCTTTCTAATTCCAAAGAACCATGAAGTGGCACTTACTTACTAGTTTTCACTATCCAAGACAAATGAAAAACAAGAAAATTGGGATAAGTTATTATAAAGCTTTTTCAGTTTTAACTTAAGATGCTACTTTTACCAGAAGTAAGGAGAGTATTAGTTTACTTCGACTGGGATCTCTCAGTTGACGGTGTGCCTTTAACATCAGATGTGGTCCAATCACAAATCCATCAAGAAAAAGTCTCAAGAGGAAAGAGTGAAAGTACCAATTCTTGGAACAGTTTAGGACGAGGTTTGCTAAAGCCCTGGGGAACAGAGATCTAACTAGATCTGCTCCCATCAGATTTGGGGAGGGTACACTATAATGTCTTCCTGCATCCCAACTCTTTTGCTTGTAGTCTAGGGATGTTACATCCCTAACCCAACTGCTGCATTTTTCTGACCAATATAAAGTTGCAGAATGAGCTTTCACTTTATTAAAAAAAAAAAAAAAAGTTTACAACTCTGTTGCAAAAATAACCTTGCAACCATGGACAGAAATATTGCTCCTGGCCTGAAACAACAGCATTGTAGGAAGAGTAACTGTCCCTATTAATCTCAACAGTGCACTAACTCTGAAGCTTAACAGTGTTCTGGCCTCATTGGAGTGTGTGCAGTTAGGTGTGTGACAGTCCCAAAGTCAGTGGGGAGTGAAGTCCAGTGTGAATGGAGAGTAACTTCATAACCCTGGCCCACTTATCTTAATTAAAATCTAACCCAGTTCTCAACACAGTGAGGGGGGGACACCCTCCTCCAGCTCAAAATGCACTAAGGATGAAATCCTGGCCCCACTACAGTCAACGGCTACTCTTTGAGGTGGTGGTGTCATTTCCATTTCGGGGAGCCAGACCCACACTAGCACTGACTGAACTTGGGCACTAAAAACATAAGTGTAGTCAGGATGGGCACCCAACAGTTGCAGGAGCTGGCTGCTTAAGTATGAGCAGGTAGGATCTTACTCCAGCGGCCAAGCTATCCCACCACTTGCATGGCCACAGCTACGGGTATGTCTACACAGTAAAGAAAAACCCACAATTGGCCCACTGTAGCTGACTGGGGCTTATGAGGCTGTTTCATTGCTATGTAGACTCAGGTTCCGGGACTCTCCAACCCCACAGGGTCCTTGAGCCCTGGGCTCTTACCCAAGGCCATACATCTACACAGCAATGAAACAGCTCCCTACCCGGGGAGTTAGCTGGCCTGTGTCTAGTTGCTGTGTAGACCTCATCAGTTCAATCAGAGCTAGGGAAGGTGTTTGGCCTCCTGCCAGAAGTTACGCCTCCATCTCCAAGTGCAGAGGTGCCCAATGGTGAAAGTCCCACGGACTTCAACAGAGACAGGCTTTCACCCCCACCCCTTTCCTATCCCTAGGAGCGGGATTCCACCTGTCCTCCTCTCCCGCCCCCCAGCGGGGCCTCTCCCCTCTCTCAAGGGGAGGCTGCTGCATTATTGCCCGGGCCCTGTAGGTAGAAAGATGGGGGAGGCGTGTTACCTGCATGTCCCGTCCAGGAGGCGGCCGCTACCTGCTGCCCCCCTCCCGGGCTCCGCCGCCGGGCTCGGCGCTGGGCGGGTAGGACAAGAGGCTCATAGCTTCGCCGCAGGCGGCCTCCACCTGGCGCACCTGCTCCCGGCTGAGCCGCTCCCGCCAGGCGTGGATGGCCTCCCGCGCGTCCCGGGCGGAGATGAGGAAGGGCCGGTCGGAGGAGTAGGCGGCGCCGCGGGTCATGTTGAGCACGAAGCTCTCCATGGCGGGCGGCACGGGCAGGCCGGCGAAGCGCAGCAGGCGGCGCAGCTGGGCGCGGGGCTCCAGCACCAGGTCCTCGTAGCGCAGCTGGGTGTAGCGGCGGCGCAGCCAGGCCGGGGCGCGGCGGGAGGAGAGCAGGTCGCGGAGCCAGGCCTGGCAGATCACCTCCAGCGCGCCGCTCAGGAAGAACTCGGCCCGGTGCTGCTGCGCCCGCATCCCGCCGCCCAGCGCGGCCGCGGGCAGGCGCTGCCGGCGGGGGAGCCCCCGGGGCTCGGCGCGGTGCCGGCTCCGCAGCACCTGGATGCTCTCCCGCAGCAGCGCCTGCTTGGCCTTGAGGCGGGAGTTGTGCACGGCGCGGGGGTCGCGGAAGAGCTGGATGACCCGCAGGTTGAGGCCGGGCTCCCGCAGCAGCGGCAGCAGCGCGCCCAGCTCCAGCAGCCGCACGTCCTTGATCACCACCACCGGGTACTTGCGGCACTCGGCCTCCAGCTCCCGCAGCCCGCGCGGCGGGCAGCTCCGCTCGCAGGCGGCGCCGTCGATCAGGCCGATCTCGTGGCGCGGCCGGGACGCAGCCGGGCAGAGCGGGGCCGAGCAGATCACCTTGTTCGTCCGCCAGCCGAAGAGCCCGGCCGTGGTGAGGTTGCCGCCGCCGCCGCCGCCCAGGGCCGGCGGGTCCCGGGGCGCGGGCGGGGCGGCGTAGAGGCGCAGCACGGAGAAGTCGCAGCGGAAGAGCGAGCGGAGCATGTCGCGCAGGGCGCCCTGCAGGCTGAGCGCGTCCGCCGGGTACAGGGCCTGCCACAGGTGCCACATGGGCTCGTACAGGTAGAAGACGTCCGGGTGCTGGTTGAAGAGCTCCCCCAGGAAGGAGGAGCCCGTGCGCCAGGTGGCGTGCAGGTAGATGTGCCGCTTCCCGCCGCCGGCCTCGCTCCCCTCAGCCGTCGCCCTCTTGCCCTCCGGCGGCGTCTGCTCCCCCTCGCCCTCCTCCTCCTCCTCCTCCCAGCCCCACTCGCCCAGCGCGTCCTGCAGGCTCGGGCAGCGGGGCTGCAGCGGCGCCTCGCCCGGCCCTCGCCCCCGGCCGGCCCCGTAGTCCTGCACGTAGGGCACCAGGAGCAGCAGCAGCAGCGTGTAGAGCGCCAGCAGCAAGGCGAGGCGGCGGTGCTGCCCGCGCCACCGCCACCGCCGCCCCTTCATCGCCCCGCCGCGTTCTGCTGCCGGGCAGCGGCGTCTGCAGCTAGCCGCCGCCGCAGTAAGGAGAGTCCTGCCCGTTGGAAGGCGAAACTTGGAGGAGGGCGGCGGCGGCGGGGTGTTGGCTCCGTGGGTCCCTCCCCGTCTGGAAAAACACGCCCACGTGCCGGAGACTCCGCGGCTAGAACAGCAAAGAGGCCGCTGCCCCCGCCTTCCTTCCCCATAGCCAGCTGTTGAAGCTCCCCGCAGACCGACAACTGCCCCTGCTGGCTGAGGAGCCGCCTCGTCCTACCTATCTGGGGCTCAGAGACTGCAGCCTTCACTGGCCTCTTTCTAGAACCAGCCCAGGGGTGCTGTCTTGAAGTGGTTTCACTCATCTGCAAGGAGGGTTTATAATTTTGTTCGGTGACTTTCAGCACCACCACTATACAAATTGTGCCAATGACACTGAACCTGCCCTTTCTTCTGCATCTCTACCCAGTAGAGAGAGAGCATTGGTGGCCTTTTTACTAGTGAGAGGGGTGAGGCTCTATCAATGAACCCAGAGAGAGAGAGGACTCACACACTCACCAGAAATGATTTTGGAAGGCCCAGGGGTTCTGCAGAAAGGTGCAGGGTTGATTTAAAACCTTCACAAAAATGGGATGCAAACCCTTTTTCTGATACAAAATTGATACCCTTAGAGTAGTGATGGGCCTAATCTGGAACCTCAGATCCAAATCTACTGCAAACTTGGGGAAAGTTCCGATCCCGAGACAAGCTTTCTAGCTCACACAATCCTCTACACAGCATGTACAGAAGAAGGTCGGGGGGGGGCAGGTATTTAAAATAATATTTCTATCTGAAAATTGAATAATTATTGTTACAAGTAAACAACTACATGATTATATCCTAATAGAGGAGAAACATCTTTTTCGAGCTTGTTGAACTTGTTTCATACGCTACACTGGGGGGAGCTCACTTGCCTCCCTTAGGCCCTGCAAGGGAACGTTTATTCCAGGAACAGCAATCAAAGAGATGAGACTGAAGAGGCAGTGGGTAGGCATGTGGTCTTAGGAACAGGAAGGGCATATTGATCTCTAGTAATGTTGCTCTTCTGCTGCCCACTCCGGAGACCTTCTAAACCTTAGTAGAAGCTCAGGAACCCCCCGCCCCCCTTCAAATTGTAAAGGGATTTAGTTTTATTTTTAGGAAGTAGCACTGGATGCACAGCAGGTAAGAATATCTCCAAAAGACTGCAAAAATATTTCAGATTTGGTATGGGGGGGGTGTTAAATCTTAAGAGAAAAAATTTGCTACCATTATTGCAGTTCCAGAATTTTTCACTTAAGGATAGTTTGACATGAACTGTTGGTGTAAAGACCATGGTCCTGATTGCAGAGGTAAAGATTCTGCACTAGCAGATTCCAGTGCAGGATCTGGGCCCAAGTGAGAAATGAATGTTGTGCTTTGATTCACATCCATTAACCTTATTGGATTTGGACTGGGGAGAGAAAAGAGGGCACTCCAGCCCTGCTGGAAAAAAAAACACCTATCAAATGAATTTATATGGGAAAACAATTTGTGTCACTTCTACAAGGGCTAACTTTTGCCCTGGAGATTGACTACTCATTTGAAACATTTGTATAAAGGTCTTCTCCTTTCTTCCTTCCTGCAATTACTTCTGTTATGGTCTCTCTAATGTTAACTCTCTATAACTCAGGTTGTCCAAAATCCAGCTGTTCATTTCATTTAGGCCCTGATCATGAAACCTCTTCTGTACCGGCAGACCCTTTACTGAAGTCAATGTGATTCAATATGAACAGAGGGGTCTACCTCCATGGAACAGTTTTGCAGGATTAGGGGCTTATTTTTGAGGAGTGTGGTTGCTACATTTTATTAAATTAACCATTTTTCAAGAATTTCCATTTATTCACAGAGGCAAGATCAAAAGGCACTTGAAGTGATAAATTCATTTTGTGGCTGCTGTAACAAAGAACATTTACAACCTGAAACCTTAGCTTTACTCTGATTACATTTCGATGCTATGACAGGTAATTTCTCCTACTTCATCAGCAGTTGAAAATGGATGCATAACACACTAGTTAATAAAAATGGATTATACCATTAAATTAATGAAAAAAAAAAAGGAGTACTTGTGGCACCTTAGAGACTAACCAATTTATTTGAGCATGAGCTTTCGTGAGCTACAGCTCACTTCATCGGATGCATACCGTGGAAACTGCAGCAGACTTTATATACACACAGAGAATATGAAACAATACCTCCTCCCACCCCACTGTCCTGCTGGTAATAGCTTATCTAAAGTGATCATCAGGTTGGGCCATTTCCAGCACAAATCCAGGTTTTCTCACCCTCCACCCCCCCCAGAGTGAATTTGTGTGGGGGGGTGGAGGGTGAGAAAACCTGGATTTGTGCTGGAAATGGCCCAACCTGATGATCACTTTAGATAAGCTATTACCAGCAGGACAGTGGGGTGGGAGGAGGTATTGTTTCATATTCTCTGTGTGTATATAAAGTCTGCTGCAGTTTCCACGGTATGCATCCGATGAAGTGAGCTGTAGCTCACGAAAGCTCATGCTCAAATAAATTGGTTAGTCTCTAAGGTGCCACAAGTACTCCTTTTCTTTTTGCGAATACAGACTAACACGGCTGTTACTCTGAAACCTGTCATTAAATTAATGAGGTACTAATTAACAAATTAATGAATAATGTGGGATACAATGTTTACAATTATTCTGTGTTTGTTGACAGTTGCAGCTACCATTTTAAAATTGATGAACCTTATATTTTCTGTCCTTGGGCTCATTCCCTGCCACCATCAAATACCCTAATATTTGTCCCTTGTTGACACCTCCCCATAAAGCATGGTAGATCTTCCAAAGCTGCCTACCACCATTTGGTATAGCCCCCCTCTGGCTAATTGACACCTTGACACTTCAATTCCCTTTCTCATGGTCCATCTCTTCTCTCTCTAATAAAACAAACTCATTTGACTAATTGAGTCTGTTTCTTCATGTATCCTGGTCTCTGAAATGTAGTTATTGTTCCCCTCTTCCTGACTGTCTTAACACTTAGCAGATATTGCATCAGATTCTACTGTGTGATACACATGTATCACCTCTGCAATCAGCAACATTACACCCATATACTGACAGCAGAGTTTGACCCATTATATAGATATTATAAACAACTTTATATATAAACTGTAATCTGCTATGAAGTATTCTGTCTGCTTCTGGAGGAAATACATTAAACAAAATTATTACACTTTGTGTGTGTGTGTGTGTGTGTGTGTGTATAATATGTGATTAACAAAACTATTAAGAAGTGGAGTCAAACAAACAACACATGCTTTTGTTCTGTCAGTGAGACAGAAGTTTGGTCCCCAGCAGCCTTCCCCTGACCTGTATCAGGAAAGTGTTAAAGTGGTAACATCTTACACTTTTAAGGAGTGTTGAGTGACAGGACTGCCGCAAACAAGACTTTGCAGACCACTAAACAAGATGGGGGGGGGGTTTGAGGCAGTGTTCAAGAGGGAGTCCGTTGGCTACATGCATTCCGCTGTTTTTATTTGTTATTATTGCTGAGTTTAATAAACCCTATGGGTACAATCATGGCCCAAATGAAATCAATGTGAGTTTTTTGCCATTGATTTCAGTGTGACCAGGATTTCACCCTAGATTACAATAACCTACAAATAAAAAAAAAAGTAGTATGAGGGAGTGATAACTATAATACAGACCAGTTGGAACTATTGAACCCTAGAGTGAGGACACAGTATGTAAGCCCATCTGGCATGCCGAAGTGACATCTGTGGGTTAATTGTCCTCTGTGATATGAATGTGCAAAAGAATCCTATTAAACAGGATTTAGGAAGCTTGACATCTCAAGAGGTGATTCAGAGAAATATAAACATGACCAGGTAAATACCAGGTTGCAGGGTTTACATTCCACTAAGACAAATACCAGTGTTGACAGAGCGAGCAGAGCTGTAAGAGCTATCCAGACAGTTTAGACAGATGAGATCTGAACATACTACACATGTAGCTGAAAACATTTAGCATTTGATTGGTTTCTAAAACAAGCATCATAGTTGGAGAGCTGTGTATGAAGACTATCAACCTATACAAAATGGCAAAAGGATGCTGGATAGCCATCTATGTACACAAAATAAAACCCAGCCTAAAGAGAATGGAAACATTTTACAAAATAAGGCCTACCAAACTAAATGGGAAACTATAGAAATAAAAATATGTATACCTTATACAGAAAATGTATCAGATAATAAAAGCTATAAGCTCCTATGGCAATTATTTCAAGAAACAATAAGACACACAAATTACTTTACCATATGGTATTTTTTTCCCCACATGTAATATGTAAAAGTACTACTCCTCAGGGCATTTTGTGCCAAAAAATTAAAAATTCTGTGCACAATATTTTAAAATTCTACAAATTTTGTCAAATAAATGTGGATGCTCCAGCATGGCACTGGGGAGCACAGGACACTGGCCGCACAGAGGTGGGAGATCACTGTGCAGCTCCCCCCGCAGGACATGGACTTAGCAGTGAGGCTGCACCCAACCCTGATGCAGCACAAGGACAAGGCCTGCCACAGAAACACCCAAGGCCCTGCCTCTCCATGTCAGGTGTGGGCAGGCAGGCTTAGCAAGACAAGATCCAAGTGTGGGGGGATGCAGGTATGGGTTGATAGGGTTCTGTGTGGGGCAATCTGGGTGCGGGCGGCTCAGTGGGGGAGCCAAGTGCAGGGGGATTTGGATGCACAGGGGCTTCTTACAGATGCTGGGGCAGTGGGGCTCATCGGGGGTGAGGCTCGGTGGGAGGCTCTGGGTATGAGGGGGTCTGGATGCACAGGGCTTGGGTGGATGGGGGGGCAGCTCCCTGTACAAGGGATCCCTTCCCCTGCAGCTGAGGAGCAATGGGTGCAGGAAGCAGCGGGAGGGGGGAGTTTGCATAGCTGCAGCTGGGGGGTGGGTATGACTCAGCCCCAGATGCTGTGCAGGGGCAGAGGAAGTCCCATCCTTCCCTGCCCAGCCAGGAGTAGCAGCTGAGCTTGGCATAGGGTAGGAGCCACCAGCCAGGTCTTCCCCAATCCCACCCGTTGCCCCACAGTGATTTACCTCTCTGGTGGCTGCCTTGGGCACCCGAAACATACTGCTGGGGAG